GGTGGTGGTGGTGGTAGTGGTAGGATCGCGAGAAGCAGCGGGCTTACACAGCCCTTCACCAATGTGCCAATGTAAACACTTCTCTCCAGCTTGGCGAACTCCTGGAAGACCATGCTTGCAAACTTCCCGTATTGGTTGAATAAACCTCTTCTCCACATGAAGGCTCTCAAGCCAGCGGCTACAAGGAATCTTGAGCATATTTGGAGCACCGGTGAAAAGAAGGTTGTCAAGCCTAGTCGCCTGTCAAACCCTGTATAGCGAGCCTACGCGAGTCGTGTCTTTCTACCACGAAAAGCCTCGATGGTCCTTCAGCGTATTTTTTTTGGACTTTGAGCTGTAAGCCGCCTTTTTGCCATAAGTCTGCCAGCCATCTGCAGTTGAGGATTGTGGATGCAGAGGCCGCGCTCATGGGAACCTCCGCTTGTGTTAAGCAGCGATTTTATTTGAGAGTGATGCGTGGTTCCCTCGAGGGCATCGGGGCTTGGCGAATGACATTGTAGGAAGTGGAGACCTGTTACAGGCAGCAAGTACAAGTAGGAGTTAGTATAAGGACGATAACGCGTAGTAGGAGGAGGAGAGGAGGAGTAGGCGTAGTAGCAGTGGCGGTTGTGCTCCTCCTGCTATCAATATGGTAGTTTCCCAAAATAAGGGGACCCCAATATAAACCCCAAAATACTATAGTCCTTATCATAGGGACCCCCAAAAAGGTACCCCTAATTTTGGGAAACCCCATATGCTTTCACCCGCATGTTTTAGTGAAGCCTCAGCTCCTCTTCAAAGCCTGTAGCCAGACTGCAGGTGATCATGGCAGAGTTTTCCTGGGTGGGGTATCTCAGTCAAATTGTGGCCTTTAGATGTAGGGTTCAAGGCATCTAAGTTAAATTGGGTTTAAGGTTGAAAGATGTTGGGAGCGTCTCTGTCAAGTTTTGGACTAGGGTTTAGGGCATGTAAGCCAAGTTGGGGATTTACAGTCCCACAAGTGAAGATAAACAGATGAGCTATACGTAGTCTAAGCTCCTTTCTGGGGATTGTGTAGGGGATTATATAGGGGATTGTTATAGGGGTTATCACGGGGGGGATGCTAGGAGTTGAGCCTCTAGCCCATATTTTAGGAATATTGGCGTCAACCCAGGCGCGTACGTGCGAGCCTGCCGCACAGGAATATTGGGGTCTATCTTGGGGCTCTGTATGTACGAAAACTGCTGATTAGGAAGCTTCATGGTCTTTGTGTGGGGTTCCTGGCATCCAGGTAGCTTTTGAAATATGTGGGACGTAGACAGGAAATGCACAGGTCCGCCTGAACACAACCCCAATTCTAAACTGACCGTCAAGCCCTACACGAACTACCCGACATGGGCATCAAGTTGAGAACCCTAATCGAAACCCTACGGCGTACTGTTATCACTGAGTCGTATGATAATTATTGCGAAATTCTTCTTCTTAGTATCCTCATCACTAGTCAAATTTCAAGAGGATAAAGTCCCCTTAAGTAGATAGAAATGGCTCTGGGTATATTGTAATACGATCCCTACATACTCCATATTCTAACTACTTAAGGGGGACTCTAGCCAGGCATCCCAGGGCTGTTGTGCTGCCTTTGATGCCTTCGCACGGCATCCCCGGCGTTTGGGAGGAGCCTTGCATAGTCGCAGCTAGATGCGGCACAGCCCGTGGGGTATTTTTGGCCTTATGGTTGTTAAAGATAGAACTGTAGTATACAGTATAGTATGTCCCCGAGAACCCAAGACCCTATTCGAACTAGATTAATTTGCAGGCTTACCACATTCAGGACCGGTTCTCAAACTTGTGGGTGCCTTCTTGGGGGTCCCTATTTCCAGTCGTACATGATGATGCAATAGTTTTTGTCTTGAGAGGGGTCCAAGGGTTATACAGGTGGACTCGAAATCATAATCATAATCATCACAAATGTCTACCGAGCTTCTGCCGAGAGGTGGTAGGGCCACATGAGTGATAGGATTTAAGAAGCGTCGGGGCGCAATCTCGGCTCATAAAGAGCGGTTATGTCATTGTTCAGGGTGTTGAAGTTAGAGATTTTCTTAAACTCAGGGTTGCCCCATGTCCTTCAATCATCTCCAGCAGTGTGGACGCCGATTGGTGGCAAAGCCCAAAACAATCAATGAGTATAAAGCATTTCGAGATCAGGGTATAGGGTTCAGAGATGCATCAGGATTTGCTGTACAACGTTTGGCATGCTCTCACCACAACTTGGTTCATGCTCCTTGATATTAACTCCGTTAGAGAGTGTCTAGCATCCAAGGATTTGTTGGATTTGTGGGCCACCCGCTGAAATGCACGCCTCTGCACTGCTCTGCCCAGCGTGACGTGCCGTGCTCCTTCTACAACGCTGTGGCCTGTCAGAACGCGACTGAGTAGGTTCTAGCCTCATATGAGCGACAGTCTGAACTCCTTAAAGGGGGTTGTATAGGGGATTATATAGGGGACTACTATAAAAAATATTAAGGGGGATACTAGGAGTTCAGACAATGGCTCATATACCCTAAGGGTCCCAATAGCGGCCTGTAGGTGCCAAAAACCGTTCAGATAGTATTTGGGGCTTACCGCGTCGTTTGTTGGTACTTGGACCTGCTAGATAAGAGGAGCCGTTGTGTCAAGGACCGTCCAAACCAGGTTTCAGGCTTGTCCATGTTCATGACACATCAGAGCTTGACCTATGTTCTCAAACCTTGAAACGGCCCACCGTGCAAAACTACTTAAGCTTATGCAACCTCTCCCAGAACCCTAAACCCCAAACCCTAAACTTCGGCCATGCAAGTCGAAAAACCCTAAACGGAAACCACTTCGGCCCGGGGTCAGCAACGGGCCACGGCAAGGCTGAAGATGACACCATGAGGACTCATTGGGCCTTTTGGCTTACTATCGAAGGTTCGGGGTTTAGGGTTTAGGGTTAGCCGGTTAGCCTGTTGCAAAAGGGTTCTGAGTGTTCACCATCTTGCGGGCAATTCGTAAGGCGCCATGTACATATGTTGCGTGAAGGAGCAATGTAGAGACAGTCAAGCCTGTTTTTGGTGTTTCAGCAAGGTTTTCTCTGGGGACAAAGTGCCCACATGAAACGGGAGAATTCTGGGCATACCTCGAGAGTCCCATCCCCTAACACTTGAGGGTTCAAGGTTTAGGGTGTAGGGTTAAAGGATTGCTTTACAGGCAGGTGGGTGTGGTACCAAGGTTTTCGGTAGCTTTAAACATGACGCCTCAAAAAAGACAATCACATTCTTTCGGTCCCTGGGAAACGAACACGACTTGATGTGGTTCAAGGCTGGGGGGGCTCCTGCCCAACCCACACCAGTCGATTCATCATTGTTGGTATTCGTGTTTGTCATTTTTGTCATTTGTTGCTGACGTTGCCGTCGCAGGGCCGCGGCGCTGGTGGTATCTATTACCGTCCGGATTCTTACTTTTCTCATAAAAGCCTGCGATGTGGTTTTTTGCAGCCGCTGGGCCCTAGGCATTGTGCTCGGGAGGCTACTGGGCTCCTGACAAGTTCCTTCATCATTGCCCCAACAGATCGTGATTTCAGCGCCTTAGCCCTTAAGCCTGGTCTGAACCTATGATGCTCTCACAGTGATGGGTCTTAGTGATGAGGGCTGTTTTATCGTGGACGTAGCTAGGTGGACCTAAATCTTAGGGATATGTTAATCAGGGGTTACATTACCATTAAGCATCAGCCACATCTCAATATGGGCTGCTGGCAGGCTGTTCTGCGCATTTTAGACTTGATAAAGCTTGAGAATCCCTCGATGCCTTTTGAATCCGAACCATTGGTTCTACAGCTGGTTCAAGTCGTTACATGAGCTACAGTCTAAACTCCTTAAAGGGGGGTATCTAGGGGATTATAGAGGTGAGTAGTATTGGTGGTACTAAAGGGGATGCTAGGAGTTCAGACCCTAAACCCTAAACTCTATCATAGAGTTATGAGGGGGACCACTATATAGTTCACATGTTCTTACAGGGAATGAATTTTCAAGCTACGGAGGAAGGCGGGTACTGCCCAAAGCCTTGACCCCAGAGCCCTAAATGGAGGTTTCCCAAAATTAGGGGTCCCCTCAAAGGGGATTATAGGGACTATGTACGGATTATGGGTTCCCAAAATTTGGGTACGGGTCATATTTTGCCGTGGTGTTTTTTGCATTGAAATGTTGTTTTTCCTTTGTTTTGCCAGGATTTCAGAAGCATGAGTCTAACAAATGCAAAAGAACTACTTGGTTTCATGCATTTTTTGTTTAGATGTAGACTTTCCTTGCCAAACAAGTATGCTCTCGAACATGGATGTTATCATGGTTTGGGCATGGATGCTCTGGTCAAGGTGTGCTCTCATGCTATTATGGTTTGGGCATGGATGCTCTGGTAAACGTATGTATGAAAACCATTTAAAGCAGAACTTTGCACGAAACACTACGACAAAATATGGCCCGTCCTCCAACAACCTTTTTGGGGCGCTCCATAATAAGGATTAGAGTATTTGGGGTCTACATTGGGGTCACCCTATTTCGGGAAACTACCAGATCCCGATACCCTTCTACTCTGAAGCTGGCAAGGTGCTGCCCGCAATTCGAAGGCTGCGCGCCGCAGGTTGGACCCAGGTGAAAATCGAAGTTGCAGAGGGAGCCGAGCCGCCGTTGCATTTGTAGGGTTCTTTTTGAGATGAGCCTCCTACCCTGCGAATAAAGCATCTCAGTGATGTACAAAAATGTTGGGGGCATTCATTGAGAGGGGTGGGCAGTTTAGAAGAAACAGTTGGGGTGAAAGTGAAAGGAGCGCAGGCGTAGTTCTAAAATTGGCGTTCCAGGAGTTTGCTGCGTGATTATGACGCTTTAACATGCCGCCTGCAGAAGCTGTTTTGACAAATGGGTGCCCTCCCAAAAGCGACCCTCATTTTTGGAAATCCACTTGTAGTCAATTCATGGAGGACTTCAGCGCAGTAAGCAATGAACATCACCATTCAACATGGAATTCGTGAGCTGAACTGATCTAGGGGTTTCCCAAAATTAGGGACACCTCTTTAAGTATCCCTACAATGGGGATTCTAGGATGTTGGGGTCTATACCGGTGTCCTCTTATTCATGGAAACTACTATTTCTGGTGCGGTGGCCTATCAGACGTAGCCCCTTTACTTAAATCTGCTGTTTGAGCCCAAAATCCGTTGTAGGATTGTTGTCCAAACTGGACTGACTCAGCGAAGCCGACTGACTCTAGAGATTTAATGCGGTGGTCAGCTAGGCCTCAGGTTTTTCAGGGATTTTGACATGACGGCTTGAAACTCTGCATCCTGAATTGCTTTCCCCGAGAGTATGCTATCCAAGGATCACGGCACATCAGATGAGCTGGAAAACGAGTGGATGGATAGCTTTCTTGCAACTGTTTTTGCAAGATTGTAGATCTTCCTGAACTGAGCCTCTCAGAACCAGTCCGACTTTTCTTTTCACTCGCGACATCAGGCTTGAAGCCAAAGCCGTGCTCACACCTGTTGATCAAAGAATCCGAGAATGGGTCGTGTTCTTTTACACCACTTTACGGCCCAACCTGAATTAACGTCAAGCCGCCGATCACATTTTTCCGTGAAAGAAGCTTTTGCGGAACCAGGGCGGCAGGAGCGTGTTGGCACGTATACATGTATATACACATATCTAGATGGTTAAGTATGGAGGTCAGACCATGTGTTCGATTCAAGAAAACTTGTTGGGATCAAGCTCAAATCACCAAAATAGCTTGTTGGGATCAAGCTCAAATGACCGAGAGATATTCACCCTAAACCTACAGGAGGAAGCTTGGAAAAGCCCCGAGCCCCAAACCGCGAGGGACAATAAGAACCACAACTTCATCGTGCCATGTTGCCACGCCCTTGCAGGGTAGAATTGCCATGTGAGCCCATCAGCACTGTTGCTTCACACCTTTGGCTGGGGTTTCTTCGTCTATACATGAGATATAGTCTACACTCCTAGTATCCTCCTTAATAACCCCTATAATGCTCCCCTATATAATGCCCCATATAATCCCTTCGAGGAGTTAAGATTGCAGCTCACATGCGGCCGTCTGGAATTCTTAGCATGTTCCTTTCAGTCGTCCGTTTGTCCTTCAAAGTCCGATGAGCCGTTCAGGGCAGTGAGATGGTTTCGAGTATTGTGTAGTCCCCTCCCGTCCCTTCAATACTAACCCACCTTAATATATGGTCGTTTCCCAAAATAAAGGGGCCTAAATATAGGCCCCACATCATTATGATCCTCATTATGGGAAGCCCAAAAAGGTATCCCCATGTACATAGAAACTCACGCCAACACAGTACCCAAAACCCTCAACACTGAACCCTCAACCCTAAACCCTAAACCCCATTGGCAAGCCGGGCGCGATTCTTTCAAGGTGGCCTTTACTTTGTAGAAACGATGGCGTTCAATGGCCCGTTGAGATTTTATGGAAAAGAGAAGGAAACTACTGCATAGGTTTCGGTAATTGTGGGTGTACATCGGCCAGTCGTACAGCCATAGGGACTATCAGGTTCCAATGGGTATGGCACATCAGGGAAGGGCAGCTCCCAGAAGCCGCATGGTTTGCCCAGGCTGCGTGCAGATCAAGTTCGCCCATGCCTCGGACAAAGCGGAAATGAGAGTTTCCCAAAATGACGGGTGCTAACATTTTTCCATGCAACGACTTCCTTGTTCTGCGCGTGATGGTTTTCCCAAGCTATGACAGCCTGAATTCTTCTAGGGCTTACGGTAGGGCCGGGGGCGGAAGGGGTGCCTTCCAAGGGTTTGTTAGGGTTCTTTGGCTCCGTTGCTGTGAAGGGAGCTCATGCCACCCTTACCGCTCAGTCCTCAGTTTGGAGTACATGTGGACAACGGGAATCCCGATACGGAAAGGGTCAATCTTGTAAAGCTGTTTAGGACTGCCCTCGTCTACCAAGAAAACTTTGCTTGATGTCTTCTTATGGGCTGAGCGATTCTACTACATACTTTACGTACTGTATGTGAAGGCCTTCATCCAAGAGCAGCTGAGCGACATTCGCCTTCATTGGATTCTGGGGGTTGCTGTCAGGGCCATGCATCTAGACCCCGTGACTAAACCATCAGCATGCGGGAGGCGACGCAGCGCTAGCTGCCGCAGCGACGGCCCTGCTGGAAAGAGGCCTCCGGCTCGGCAATAACAAGGATGCGGATGTTGTGGTGAAGGGCTCGGGCTTTGTGGTTAGAGAGTTTCGAACTTCGCGAGGTCCTTCTCATGCGAGGATCCTTCGGGCATTGTTTTTGTCCGGACAGCGCGCCATCCAAGTGGAGGGCGCCTGGACCTAGCTAGAAAAAACACAACGCCTATGAGTCTATGAAAATTCCCTTGGTTTCATGTTCCTTGGTGTCTGTCTCAGGCACCTCCAGGGCAAAAATAGACGCGCGCAAGTCTGACACATCAAGTTGAGTAAATGTTTCCCCCCTCAATCAGACTAGCGTATGAGAGCTTAGGTCGCCTACCAGCAGGCTAGTTTCCAAAACATTGGAGTTCTGTTGGGCAGACATGTGATAAGGAGTAGTGCGTTTGGGGCTCTGATCCCTAGGATGCTCCAACGTTTGAAGCCCTAAATCGTGATTGCGGAACTAGGTAGGGAAATCCGAGTTGGAACCAAGTAATATCCCATTCGCATGTATCCTCCCTTGTTACGCTCCAATCATGGATAGTATTGGTGTTTGATAGTATGCCTACCTAGTAGTAGAGACCCTCGAGCCCCTGAAGCCTGCAGCCCCAATTCCAAAGACCCTGAAATCTTGAACATGCAAACCCTAAGCTTTTGAGTTGTTTGACGAATAGTAGGAATGCTTCCTTACGCCCAATCACCATGCTTTCGGGGATGTTTATGGTAGCTCAGCAAGAGCTCTGAACCCCCAAGCCCAGGCGCCGGATGCGAGAAAGCGGTTGGAGAGGCTTTGTGGGATCTAATCAAGTGTGCATTCTAACAGCTGACGTGGGGCGAGGCTTTCTTGGTGCTTCCCAAACCTTGGCAGGTCCATGATAACCCCAATATAACCCTAACATNNCATTTTCTTTTCCATTCTCCCAAGCCTCATCTGGCTGCCTTTCCTTGCAGGTCTTAGGCCGCTTTCACTTGGCATACTTGGAGCTCTGTGCCATACTCAAAGTGCAAACCAAGGAGGTGTCCAACAACCCCGAACCCTGCTCCTCAACCCACCTTATGCTTGCCTATTGCCTGACCGCAGAGGCATGCGCTTGTAGTTTCAATCTCGTGCTGATTGACCGCGACGCAACTTTGCATTTCAGAGGATTCTGGTACTGCGACACGCTGAGCAGAAATTAACGGTGAGCCTGGTAGCAGAATCAGCAGCACCGACGACACTGGTAGCAACAGACGAATTTTACAGTGATTTCCTCGCGGATCTTGATCTTGGCGGCAGCGCAGCAGCACGCACCACCTACCAAGTCTCTTAGCATCGCCTCTTAAAATCAGTTTTTGTGGGCAACGACCAGTGTCAAGCATTTGGAAAGGTGCCAGATGCAGCAGATGTTGTGACGCAGAAGCTGCTGTCAGAACATGAGGCTGGACTACATTGCCATGTGTCTGCCAGCGCCTATCAAATTCAGAAAGAGCTATCAAGTGTTCAACTTTCACTACGCTAGAGCTGCTGACATCCTGGCGGTAGTGAGGGTCGTTGGTGCTGGTGGGAGGGGGGGGTTGGGGGATGGGAGGGCCTCACGAGATATACTCACAGGGCGTATGGTATGGTGCAACGCTGGACTTCCACCATGTGTATGCTAGTCATGATGCAGGTGCTAGGGACATGCTGATCTTCTTTTCCAGTTTTCTTGAGTATCGTATTCTAACTTACAGGCCGGCAATCGTTCCTCCTCTCGCTGCCATGGGTACACACGGGGGGGGGGGGTGGTGGATGATTCAAGGTTCATGTAGCGGAACCATGTAATACAGCCCTGGCTTGCTGTCATTTGACGCCACAAAACTCCTGGTGCCATAAATGAGGGGCCCTAATATAATATGGAACCCAACATATTACAATCCTGAGTATGGGGACCTTCCAGGTTTTGGAGACCTCCAAATTCGTGCAAAAGCTTGTGCTGAGCTTGCTACAGGTCCTGCTTCATGAAGAGGCCGCTATGGCAAATGCTGTCAAGGACTTATTTGTCCAGACTTTGCCGAGGGAGAGATAGGGTCCTTTCTTCGTTGCACCCGAACTAAGTAGGATCCTTGCGAAGCATGCGAACTTAAAAGCTTTGTTAAAACGGCGCCATTTCCTACACAGCCACCCTGTGATCTCTCTTAAACGAAGGTAACCCACACAAAGTTGTGCTACCATTTGACTTAGGAAAATGAAGACGAAACAAGTTGCATGTCCGGGGCCCTCAAAGTAAGTCCCGGCATGAGTTATAGGCTAAACTCCTGAAGGGGGTTACACAGGGGATTTCATAAGGGATTATCTAGGGGAGCATTATAGGGGCTACTAATGGGGATACTGGGAGTTTAGACAATAGCTCGCGTGATCTGTCCAAAACTCCCATGATCTAGAACAGGAGGCGCGACGCCAGCGAGATCTCCGCGAAAAGGCCAAGGAACGCCTTTGCCGCCAGGAGATCTCAGGGTCTCAGTTGTCTTCCCAGGGAGCCCAATACCCCTTAATTACGGAATATAGCT